ATGCAGAACTTCGAAAAATGTAATGAATCCTTTCCCTTCAAACACCCCCCTTGACAACATACAAGGTTAAGGGAAAAATAAAGTATGACTGGTTTTCTGTATTTCAGCTCTTCATCTGTAAGTGGTTTACATTTTCTAAAGACTTAAAGATCTGGCTTCTTTCTTTGGAAAAATGTGTGCTCCTGCTTTTTGCCTACCATATGCTCTAGCTGCTGAGATAGCTGAAAGTCTTCGAGATATAGCGGTCGGTGCTTTGTTTTGTTTTGGCACTGCCCATTTTAAAATGCTGCCGTAAATGAAATTGTGCTCATTTAATTGGCAGATTGAAATTAAAGTACACAAGTTGCAGAGAAGTCTTCATGTTTTCCTCTCAAAATTGAGAACAGAGGCTTCTGACAGTTAACCTTTACTCTAGGAAGTAATCTATTCCAGATATTCTACTGAAACTTGTACCAGGTTTGTGGAGACACACACAGAGCCCCACACAGACTTGAGGAGGGGCTTAGTGAAGCAAACTCACTGCAGTAGTTCTGTAGATGGTACGTGCTCTGAGTCTGTGTGTTACTTCTGTTTTATTTGTTTGGTTGGTTTTAGCAGTGTGGTTTCAGAATAGATGTCTGGTGTGGAAAGCTATATAGCTGATGATGGATTTGATTGTCCTCCATCACGTTCACAAAACCCAATCAATCAGAACTGTTTTTCTGGGGTTAATCTCAAAGTCTTCTAGAATGTTCCAGTTAACACGTTTTAATCATACCTGATTAGGTTTTATGAAAATAGCACATCTAGGATGATTACACTAGCATGTCTAATTATGATGTAATTATCGACTCTACTGTTAACTGAAATGCTGTAAAGTAAATATTAATTTTTTGTTGGTAGCCTGAAAAACCTAATAAAAGCAAAAATAAAACTCAGTATTTTTTGAAAAGACATGCATTTTAAACCAATGAATGCCTTGTAAGTTGTATGCATCTAAATGTAAAATATTTAGAATCTCTAATAAAGTAGTGGTATCTTTGGGTAAAGGAACTCACAAAATACCACCTTGATGCTATCTGTGAGCAAATGAAGAATCCTGCTGCCGATTTCTGCCTGCCTGTGCAGACTGTGACCGCTTCTCCCTATGTGATGTATTTGGAGAGATGTATCTCTCCATATCACCGGGCAGAACGCTCTGAACATTACCCTGCGCCCTATTTAGGCTTCTCTGAGGTAAAATGTCAAAGTCTTCCCCTTAACAAGAGGTGATTACATACTGCAAACAGTGCTTTACGTATGCCAGTCTTGTATCATGTTTTTAAACATTAAGAGCTTGGGAAAATGGCTGGGAAAAAAAAATTGGATTGCTATCTCTTTTCCCGTCTTGACATTTGCCAGACTCAGTGACTGACCATTTATTTCAAATCTGTCTTGATGATTAGAAATGCTAATCTTCTAAGGACTTGAGTTTTGCATCCAGGCTCTGACAGTATTCAAATCCTAAGCTAATGGTGGGGTGCTCAGAGAATACAGCCAGCAGCATCCTTCAGATCAGAATGTCCTGCAAGTTCAGGCTGTGTTATTCAAGACTACTCACCCAGTGACCACCCAATAGAAAGCAGACGCATCTTCTCATGAGAATGTGCCAGAAAAAAAAGGAATAGTTTTACGTTCAGGTGTTACAGGATCCACAAATGCAGTATTTATGTTGCATTCACATTGTGTTGAAGACACGTTTTAGCTTTGGAAAATGCCATTACCTGTTTTGTAGAAGATGGCTGTGATTGATAGGTAGTGAATGTTGCTCCGTACTCACAGCAGGGCCTGAGGCCTCTGCAACTGATTCCTCTGAAAAAGTTGGTCTAAAAGTCATCAGACCTTTTGCTCTAGGTCTAAACTGATGGCAGTCAGCCTTTTCAGCTCTCCCTCTGCAGTCCAGGTGCCATGCGTATACACCGCTTGGCAAGGCAGGAGGCAGCGTATCCCCTGTGAGTTGTCCTTCGGCAGTCTCCTCTACTGGCATTCAATAATGTGATGACAGTCGTACCGATGCTTCCCCGAACAGGCTTCCCGTTCAAACCAGTAGTGCAGGAGGGGTGTACAGCCGTTAGTGAAGAGATTTCCAGAAATTCAGCTCTGAGAGTGGTTTCTTGATACGACAATCTATTGCCATGCACATGACAACAGCAGAATAAACTTTGCCATAGGTGAGCAGGTTTAGCGAGCCAAAGCTTACAGTTGTGTTGCTGTGGCTATCTCATTTGGCATAGTTCGTATGAGTAAAATGTGGCATTTGTGTCACCAGCAGATGAGTTTGAAAATGGCATAGGTTTTGAGATTATTGAAGCTCTTCTTGGACAAGAGGAAGCATGGTATGACTGGTTGTAGAGAATTGCACATGGGTGGAGTGAGTGAATTGCTCAAGTGGCTGATGGTTGTACAAAGGAAAGGTCAACCTTACAGAAGTCATCATAACTCCCCTGCAGTTGAGGGCACACGTAAGTGTCAGAACCCAGCAGAGTTTGGCACGTCTCTTTCTTTGGAAGGGTTGCGCTTTGGTTACAGTTTGTCTTTGGTCAAAATTTCCATAAGCAGCAAAGGGCAAATCAGCAAGAGTATGGAAGATCAGGAAGAGTATGGAGGAGAAGGATGATGCTTAGAGGAGTGGAGAAGAGTGTTAATAATAAAAAGCATTTGCACTGCACAAACAAGAAAAGGGATATCCCAGCTTTAGTGAAAATTAGGCTAGTGTGGCACCTCAGCTATGAGCTCAGATATGAATCAGTGGGGCGAACCCACAGCTTGTAAATCCTGATTCATTCCCTTATTACTCTTGTGTAAATAGGAGACAGTTTCTACATCATCTGGAAGACATTTCAGACCAGACAAGTTCTTCCACTGACTTGAAACATGAACATTTTTAAAGTGGGAAAATCATATTTATTCTGAAATTAAATCTGTGAATGAAACCGTGCCCTATTTTTTCCCCACTTCTGCACATAAAGGGAAATTAACCAAGTACACTGTACAGAGAATTTTAATCAGTATAGCACCAAGACATAATGTGTAAAAATACATAAATAAACAAGACCCATAAAAACAAAACCAACATAAGGAACTCTCTCTATATATATACTACAGCATAAAAGATCCAAACTGGGGGTGCTGTCCCGAATCTTGCTGCTTTTGATCTTGACGAAACCGCCTCAGATGAGAAGCAAAACTCACTGCATCATACAGCTGCACTGTTGAAATGACTACCTCCCTCATTTTTGGAGGATTGTTAGCAGATTTGAAGAAGCAACTAATAACAGACTATGACCCTTTCAGTCTATTCTTTTGTTATCTGAAGCCAATTTAAATCTCCTGGGGACAATGAAATGCCAAGTAAGTGTATTTGGCTCAGACAGCTTACTGCCTTCTGGTATGTCGATAGCCTGCTGAGTCAGCACTGCCCTGCGGTGGTCTGCACACCAAAGTTCACACGTGACTGAAGGTAGCTAGAACAATGATGAAAGAGCAGTGGTGAAATTGTTACAAGAAACAACCTCAGAGTGAAGTCAATGGAAACTATTTTCTATCTCAAAAGAAAAAAAAAGTCATCTAGGAAAAAGGCACCATCTGCACAGTCCTGGCCCTCAGCAACGCGCACGTGGCACTGCAGCAGTGGGGAACTGCGTGGCTGCGTATCGGAGTTAAGACCCAACTCACTACTTTTGCTCTGCTCTTTACCCATCAAGTTCTTTTCCCTCTTGCAGTCAGGGGGCTGAAGTGGCCCAGCCAATTAAGGAAAAGTGAATGTGCCTGATAATCTAGACTTGGAGCAGTTCTGCTTACCTTTTCTTATTTCACTGATGCAATGAGGATATTTGGAAACACTGGAAACCAAAGTGCAATGACAGGGAACAACAATTATGATTCCAGGCAGTATAAAGTTAACAGACTCTATGGCATGAGGAAAGAATGTAAGGTTGAGTTACTTAAAATACTCAAAGATTTTTATTGTAAATAAATCCAAGCAGAATGTAGTCAAAATGGGGACTATAATTTCTAGGAAAGCAGCATCATCTTAATTTTCCTGGAGAGAGCAAGGGGAAGAGTAGAGAAGTGATGAGAAGAAAACAGGATAGCGTTCTGAAATATCCTGGACTGCCCATATCAAAAGTAAAAACACCAGTCTAAGGAATAACAGGAGGAAAGTGTATAATTTCACACTTTGGTCTGCTGGCCTGAAAAATTCAGAATATATGCACTGAAGAAAGCTGGCAAAATGGCCCAAATGTTTTGATATACTTAACCTGCTTAAAAACATGCAATTAGACTCCATATTCATGGTATTTGTCTCCAAGTATCACACACAGAAAATTAAAAAAAATTTTTAAAAAATGAACAGGGAACAGCTTTCCATGGATGAGACTTCCATATTTATTGTTATTCCATGTGCATAGAAAATGGCAGTGAAGTTTCTTATGAAATAGGCAGGAAATGGGAGAGGTCTAGATATACTGGACTGTACTTTGTGCTTCAAAATTACACTATTCATTTTGAAAGGATTGGGTTTTTTTCCTTTTAAAATTTATAACAGTTTCTGGGATTTGTTTTTGTGCATGGTTTCAGATTCCTTTTAAAATGACACACTGCATTACAAATGGATGGCACTTTAAACCGAGGTGGCATTTCCATATTTACACCAACGAAAGAAATTTACAAGACGTGATAGCGTACAATCTTGACATTTAGTAATAGCAGTAAAACAAGGGCATCCATTTTATTTTCTCTGTACAAACTATCAGAACAAGACTATTATTCACATAAAAAAAAATCTGCTTTAATTTGCTCTGACCTACACACTTTCCAAATTCATTTTACTCAATTCTCAAACCTTTCATCACATCGCCCACACCCTCACCAGACTACAGGAGCTACAAGTAATTATACCTAACACCTAAACAGAGCAAAAACCCATTCCTTCCAGTTTTTCTTCCTGACAATTAAAAAAAACAAATAAAAAAAAAAACTTCCTTGTTCCTCCTCTTATTTCACTTTCACATTTCATAACCAAAACAAATTAGGCCATTCCATTTCTTCTCAAGCAAGATGAGAAATACACTGTTGTTTCTTCTCTTTGATGCTACACCCAGGAGTCAGGTGAACCCGGGTACTGTTCCGCTCTATAAGAAGATCGTCTGGTGGAATAAAAGTCTACATAATTTGTGGTTGATTTCAGTCCATATTGTGTTGTGTAATCTGAAGTAGCAGGAAAGTGAACTCGATCATCAAAATATGGGTCTTCATAGCTATGTGGGGACTGCAAGTATAATCTGTATGCATCATAGTTTTTTCTGTTGGTATCTTCTTGACTGTAGTACAATTGCTGATGCTGTTGACAAAGTGATAGAAAAATAAGCTTTCAAAGTATAATTAGCCTCGTTTCTCAAACTTACACACATTACACAGAATCTTTCCCTAAAAAGTTAAGTGCAGCTCTACTGATGATGATAGTAACATCGGTTTCAAACCTCCATGAAATGAGTCTAAGTTTTAAATGAAATTCAATGGAGGAAAAACCTCTAAGCCTGCCTGCATGTCTCCTCCTGCATTCACTGGGAAGCCAGTAACTCTCCAAAAGGAATACTTTTAGAGCGTAAGTAAAAAGTACAGAACCTGACCATACCTACCAAGAAAAAAAAAAAGTCAAGTCAGAAAAGTCATCTCTGATCCCACCATAAGAACAGCACACTAAAATGTGACTATAAATAGAAAACACAAAGGTAATAAACTGACAAGTGCTTATGTACTTCTAAATACACTCATGCCCAATAAGGAATTAACTGTGCTGTAGAGAGACTCTATAAAAACGCTAACACTGTGAGGTGTACTCCAAAACCTCTGAAGTTCCTCTAAACACTATATGCTCAGTCTTGTTATTGGTGTCATTTCAAAATAAAATTCTGGAGTCACCTGTAGTCGTCTGTTTTGTTCTCTTGCTGGTGAGGAATAGGAACTGATGTAAATTGGTGAAGGTTTGCTGGAACCTGTGAGAAAACAGTTTATGGAATAAACTTCAGTCTTTATTCTTTTGTCTACAAGTCTATTTGCTTCTATTTTAACCAGAAGAAATTATGTGGCACCCAAACAATGCAGATTTTTAGTATCTACTAATAATACGATATACCAACACAATATAGGCAAATTTTGTCCCTCAGCAGTAGTTACACTGAAATCGAGAAGGCCTTTTTGTGTTGCTGTTTTTTGTTTTACAGACTAATAATTTCCTTCTCTTTATTCACTGTCACCTCTATTATTTTGTGACTTTTGTCAGAAAGTAGGAAAGAAAAGGGAGATCAGGGAAAAGATGACATTTTGGTATAATTTAATAACATTATAATACATTATTATAATATACAACCACATGTTATTATTTATAACATGGTATAATAATGTATATAACGTGCATAATAAAACTATTCTCTGTAATAGGATTTTAAATAAAACTAAAAATTCCAAACACCTCTCATCTCCCAATATAGAAACAGATCTTGTCTCACTTGGGTAATGCGTGCAATTCTAAAGAAAACGGCAGAGACAGATGAAAAACCTGCTCTGTTCCACAAGCAATGAATATAATGAATACAACCGGAAAACAAGATCAAGCAGTAACAAGCCTTCTAATGCAACTGTCCACATTCGGATTGTATAAGCTCCTCATGTAAGGAATATTTAGGTATTCCAGTTAAAAGTTCACCTAACTGGTATCTTACCAGTATATATGTCTTTATGTGTAATGACATCGCCTTGGTTATTATAATACTGCATAGAAGATTGCGTTCTATCATAGTCAGAGCGGGGTTCTCTAATTCCTAATAAAGCCGGTGATGAGGACGTGCTGCCAACTGATGAAAAAAGAAGGATTATCAGTATATGCAACAAAAGCCTTTCCCATACCTAACCTCTTTATCCTCTCCTCATCCCTTCCTTCCTCAAAGAGTAACAAATGGACAAAGCTAGTACATAGTTTGTCCTGGGTGAAGAATCCCAATGACAAAAGCTATCAGCAATGTACCAGGAGACTGTAATTTTATGCTTTAATAGTGAGTCACTGCTCTATAGTGCTTACAACTGAAATAAGAGACCTTACCCATTTCGGTTTGCGTATGGCATGATTTGTTTGCATTTAGAAGATGAGACTCCTGCTAGACTTATGATTTTATGTAAGTTAGTCAAACAGAATCCTTAAGCCCATCCTGTCACTTGGGACAGGACAGAAAAATTTACGGTCTGCCTGGCTGAAGTGATCCACATACACACTTGTGTTACTGCTCTTTGATTAGCGTGTAGAAGTGAGTCTCGGACATTTTGTGCTCCAGTTGGCTGGTGACTGTTGTGAGATCATAACCATGGATTACTTCCTTTAGATTCTCACAGTGAGCAGCTCAATCTCTACTGTAGTTGTAAAGAGTTTGTTCTGCTAAATCTTTGTTTTACAGACCACTCAGGCTTTGCTGCCTTAGAAAGACTCCAGTAACACAGGAGAAAAATGCTTAAAAATAATTTCTAAACATTTTGCTTCAAAATATTAATCAATTATATCTTCTTCCATTAGTTGTGTCCATTACATCATATCTCATAAGTTTGTGTTATTATGGATGGTTTAAATACTGATATTATCCTGGCATATTCATGGCTAAAAAAGCTAAATTTGGGTGCGTTACTAAAATTCCGGCACAGGCCAGCATCATGCGTGTGTTAATAACTGAATGACTGAAACAAGAACAAATGTTATAGGCCAAGGGTAACTGTTCTACCATGCATCTGCTGTGCCTGCTGTAATCTGCAAGGCTGCTACCACACTACCCTCTGCAGCCATGTTCTCTGCACCAAGCTACCACCTTACTAGTTCAAGCTTCTTCACGCTCTGGAACAGAGGAGCAGACACTTCCTATTAGATTTTTTTTACTAAGTGTTCTTTGAAGTAAAACAGCCTCTGAATATTATGTTAGAGTAGCCCATCTTACTTCCTACTTGTAGTTCAAAGAACTGGAGTAACACAGTTGTTCTGCTGGTGTATCTTGGTAGAGAAAGCGCCGAGATAAGAATTTGACAGTAGGTACTGGAATATTGTTTTACACTTTGGTAGAATCTGGCCAGTTCCCTGAGCCTAAGTCATATTTGCTTTGTTGTCATTGCTTATTTTGAGAAGATATTTTTGGCTCTGGCTGTAGAAACGTAGCTGAAACAGTCTGTGAAGTCAAGGTGGTGGTTGGATGCCAGTATTTGCAACTTAGCAACTAGGTGTAACAGTAAAAACTGCCTTCAGTATCATGAGGTTTGAGAGTGACAAAGATAACTTGGTCAGGACGTTCTTTTGGAATCCCAGAGGGCTGGGAGGAAACTGAACGTGGAACACAAAGATGGGAATGACAAAATCCTCTACAATTGGTAACTGCAGTCTGCTGTTTTATGGCACTAGACAAAGGAATCAGTCCTCTATCTTGTACTCTGGTGGTGCGAGGAACTCCGGGCCTGAAAGATACATTTTTCTTTCCAGTCTTAAGACACTATACTTCTCATAGGAAAATAAATCCCTGGTTGAGTCCTTGTTTTTCCAGTATGTGTGAGGGTTGTTACTTCTACGTAAAGAAGTAATTAAACAAGAGCATTGTAGGAACCAGCCGCTTATTTTAGTGGTCATGGTAGATAGATATTTCTTAGCATTAACAGAGATCTATTCACATAAAAATAGAAAATTGGATAAAATAAAATGCCAAATGAAGACAATATACAAGGCTTCAAGTAGGTTTTGTATCAGCTCCCTCATGAAGATCTAAGTCCCAGCACCAAAGGTGTTAAAGGAACAAAGGCAAGAATAAGGAGTTGTTGGAGAAGTAAGATTTTTGTATTTGTCTTGCTCATCCTAATGGCCATGACACAATTGGGAATGAAAATAGGTTCCTCAGTATTGGTCTGTTGCTTTCTGGCCTATTAAGTATGCACGTTCTGTGAGGCTACAGCTACAACGCTGGGTCATACAGCAGAGGAATGGCTTTGTAGAGGGAAACAGTTGGTAACAAAGCCCAGATGTGCACTCTGAGGTTTTCCTTAGCACCAGGGCTGAGCTGGTCCCCATGAATCGAATGCCCATTAGCTGCTGGAGTACATTAGTGCTCTGGAAGCACACCATCTGATTTGGTTTCATCCAAAAGGAATGCAGTTCACACATTCTGGACTGCAGTTTGACTTGCATTAAGGAGTAAGTGGGGAGATTCAAAGTCCTCTTTATCCAAACTAAACTGCTCATGTAGACACATCTACAAATCCTGTGGAACCTGAAGCCTGCCAACAGTAGTAGCTAAGGTAATGGTCTGAGTAGGTCAAGTACTTCTTTTTAAATACAGAGGAGAGACAGCATGACCTCCGTGTTTTAGATAGAATCAGTAGTAAACTGAGAGCCTATTTGAGTATAAAAAATGGGATATGAGATACCCCTTCAGTAAATCTCTTCACATTCCTTGACTGACCTGACTGTATGACAGGTGACATCTGCTGATTTGTTGTTGATAAAGAAGGATGTGATTTGAATCTCTCTCGTTCTAGTGTTGATACTGGTGTAATAAAATGACTTTGATTCCACCCATCCTGTGGAGTGGCAAGAAGAAAAAAAAAAAACATCAGAATAAATTGCTGTTCATTAAATTAAGAGTTTTTGTAGAACTCTTTTCCAGTGTAGGCTAATTTTGTAATTTACCTTTTTATAAATGCTGCGGAGATCTCTGTATTGCCATAGTGTATTCAGCACCTGGGCGGCTGCCTTGACAACTTTCAGTGACGATCTAAGGAAGTAAAGAATATTACATTATTATAAAGCCACTTAATTCCACTTAAAAAGAACAGCGTTCCTGAGCCACATAATAGCCTAAACCTTGATGCTGTGAAGCAAGTCGGGTCATCTCTCCAGGTCTCAGTAATGCAGGCCTGCATTACCACAGCATGAACAGCGTGGTGTCAGCAGCCTCAATGAAAAGGCTGGTGCAGAACCTGATTAAGCATGACAATCATTTCCCTCTCCAGCCTAGACGTTTTCTCTTCAGGTCACCCACTGATACAGGTAGAAGGGTTGAAATAGCTACTGTCATTGTCTGCAAGAATTAAAAATCACGAAAAGAAACATTCTATTTATTTCATAAAAACTGAGACTACATACCGTAAATCTTTGTACAAAATTCCTAACTGTAGAAAAAGAATGAACAATTAAAAGAGAACAATTAAGAGTCTCCAGACATCCTCACAGTGAGACTTTGTTCTCAGTTCTGTGTTGCAATACTGAAAACTGTTATTGGTTGGGAAAATACTGTTCCACTCTCAAGAGCAAGGCTAGGAAAACTGCTCTAGCTATTACTAAAAATAAAATCATGCCATCTTTTAAAAGAGAAGTGGTAGTAAGCTGGTAGTGGCACTGAAGCAGTGATTTGACATTAAATGCCACAGCATGACATCTGTGTTAAACAGAAGCCTTTTTCTGTCACTGTGGGGACTCGCCCAAATACAGTTTTGAAAGAAAAGGCTAAAAAAAAATTGCAGTTGATAGTGTTAATCAATGAGTAGACACCCCTAACATGTTCATAGATTATAAATTTGATTAGCGTGCCCTGTGGCCTCATAAATATAAGTGCAGATGCAACTTTACACGTTGTCTCCACAGACCAATGAAGTTGTATAAAGGATCACGGCATTCCCACCTGCAGTTGAAATGAGCCTGTGTCGCCTGAACATAAAAAGTATTACAAACTGTGGATACTCCAAATATAGCACACAGTTCCTTTTGAGACAAAGGCTTTGTTAACAATCTGGTATGTTGAATTCACACGGACCAGCTTCTCTGAGAAGAGATCCTTTTTTCTCTTTTACCATCTGACCAAACACTGGGAACAGTACACAGGGCTGACTGTACAATCAGCTTTCTGCTACCCATAGAAAGGAGATCTGCGATATCCTGGTTTATAACGAGAGCCCTGCTAATGCGGTTTCCATCAGTCACATTGCGAAGGAGTACAGAGCAGCCATGCTGACTGAAGCCAGATGTGGTCCGTGAGGCTGGCTTAGTGCTGACCCTGCATGACTCTGGAGCCACTACATGTTCCCGGTCCTCGACGCTGGGCTGCCCAGTTCTGTGAGGTTTTAGCACTACTACGTAAGCACAGTGTCCGACCAAGCCCAGCACTGGACTCGCTAATAAAACGCCTAGCGTAGGGGTTGGCACAGCCATACCCGAGTGAGTCTGCAGAGAGCCAGATCTCCATCAACACTTCCTTTGCCACCCTATTTGAGAAGATCCCACTTGGCTAGGCAAGCAGCTCCATAGGCCAAGTTTTCCTTACAACCTACCAAATGGCTGTGCTAGGTATTAATAGCTATTGTGGTACATCCTGACAAGGTGCTAACGTATTCTGACTTTGAAAAGCTCTAAATACTCTATTAATTTTGTACGTGTTTAGAGGGAACAATTTTTTTTAAATACCATTTACTCTGAATAGGCCCCACTAATGTGATTACTGCAACTGTAAAAACCCTCGAAAGCTTTAGACAGAGAATGGTGGTACCAACTGCCTCTTCTTTCCCTCGGAGGTTCAGACTTTGTTAGCTACTCAGGTCAGGACTGCAAAAGCAGACCCTTTTTTCACTCAAAAAAACATTTCATGCATTCTTAAGCATTTTAAATGGAATAGAGAAATGGTTTAGGTATGAATTTCATTGCCTACTTGCCTGTCACCTCTTCCTTTTGTTATGTTCACCAGCTTTTCTATTCCTCCAGTATCAGCGAGGGCTTTGGCATTTTCCATGTTTTTACTAGTGACCTCATGCAAAGCACAGCAGATTGCTGCCACAGTCTCATCAGACAATATGCTTGGACCATTGCCTCCTGGAAGTCGATTAACCAGATCTCGCATAGCATATTTACCTATAAGAACCCATCAACAAAACCAAGTAAAAAACAACATTTTGGTATTTAAGTTTTTAAATTATCATCACAAAACTGCATCTGAAAGCAATAAAAAGAAACACAGAATCATTAAGGTTGGAAAAGTCCGTTAAGATCCTCAAGTCCAACCATCAACCCAACACCACCATGCCCACTAAACCATGTCCCGAAGTGCCACATCCACATGTTTTTTGAACACCTCCAGTGATGGTGACTCCACCACCTCCCTGGGCAGCCTGTGCCAATGCTTGACCACTCTCTCAGTAAAAAAAATTTTCCCAATATCCAGTCTAAACTTCCTCTGGTGCAACTTGAGGCCATTTCCTGTCATCCTGCCGCTGGTTACTTGGGAGAAGAGACCAACCCCCACCTCACCACAACCCCCTTGCAGGTAGTTGTAGAGAGCGGTGAGGGCTCCCCTCAGCCTCCTCTTCTCCAGACTGAACACCCCCAGTTCCCTCAGCCGCTCCTCATCAGACTTGTGCTCCAGACCCCTCCCCAGCTCCGTTGCCCTTCTCTGGACACGCTCCAGCACCTCAACGTCCTTCTTGTAGTGAGGGGCCCAACACTGAACACAGGATTCGAGGTGTGGCCTCACCAGTGCCGAGTACAGGGGGACAGTCACTTCCCTTACCACAACTTGTGACCGGCTGCCAACTGACTTGAACTCCATTCACCACAACTCTTTGGGCC